TGTGTCTTACAGGCCCAGGCAGGAAGGAATGTGGTCCTGGATAGGAGGTGATATCCAGGTCCCTGGACTTATTCTGCCCTCAGAGTCTCAGGCTCTGGGGGTCTGATGAGGCCAATCTTGGGCACAATGGGTGGTCCTATGGTGCCCCCTTGGCCCACCACCATCTTCTCCAGACCCCTTAATGGAATTAAGCTAAGCATCATTTGCTGGAATGGTAAAAAGTGGGTAGGGGTGGGGGGCACTGCGGACCCAGGCTAGGAAAGAGGGCAGGAGCCCAGGAAATGCCATAGCATCAGGACATGAGATCACAGGCCTGGTCTCAGGGCCCGGGGAATCTGGGCAGGGCACATGCCTGTGAGGAACATCCTCACAATTAATTCTAGTCCATGTGTGAGTTCCAAAGGGGAACGTCTGATTGGTTGAGGGCTCGTTGGGGAATAAGGGTCTGAACTTCTACCTCTTTTACTTAGACTCCCGGATCTCCCCTCCCACCAAGGCTGGGCACAATGTGGGCAGAGGGATTCACCTGTAGGAAGTTAGAGAATGCATCCCAGACAGCCAAACCTGACCCTTGTCCATCACAAGCCTGAATGTCCCCCCAGAGAGTCCCTTTGCTGGGTGAAGCATTGCCTTCTCTTTATGAAGGACAATGTAAATCTGTCGAAGCCTCCCAGCTGGGGTAATCCCAGATCGCTGAATGGCTTATTGGTAGAGGGTGTAGCTTAGGTTTGCTGTAGGTCGGGAAGGGAGGTGACTTGGAGACAGAACAGAGGTTTATATACGGCAACACCCCTGCCCCCAGCAATGGCAATGATGTGTCAGGCAGGCCAGAGTGGCTGGTCATGGGGCCCAGATGCCATCCCCCAGTTTGCTAGGCAACGTCTGGAATCCTCTAGGGACCAGTCCACTGAACCTTTCACATCACCCGAGCTTCAGTGAGGACACCAGCTCTCCAGGCTTGCCTCAGCCTTCTCCCTGGATGGCTCAAATCACTGAGTCTGCACAGGCAAAGGCAGAGGCCAGGACTTCCTGAGAAGTGCCCACTGCTGGCTGCAAGGCAAAAACCAGCCAAGCTTAATAACATACCCCAACCTCCCCATCCCTGCTAGACAAAAGAGTCTGCAGTGGCACCTGGGTGGCTCAGTCTGTTAAGTGTCCCACTCTGGACTTTGACTCAGGTCATGATCTCAAGGTTAGTGAGTTCGAGCCCCGCTTCCAGCTCTGCACTATCAGAGGAAAGAAGGGGTCAGGAAGGACCCGGGTGTGGTGGTAGAATATGGGGGAAGGTTGGGGGCAGGCTCAGTTGGCTTCATGGCTTTGCCCCCCAGGGGCGGAGGTGGATGTGGGTGGGCCTGCAGCCAGCCAGGAGTGGTCTCAGGGATTACTCTGAAAGGGTGGTTCACTCGGTGTGTGATGCCATAGGTGGGGCCAGAGGAGAGCCCCACAGGACAGAGGTGTGTGATTCAGTTTCTCCTCCACCCTCCGCCCCACGGAGCTCTGAGCAAACTTGCTGGGCAGCACCTGTAGACAGGCCTTCTGAGAGAGCTCCAACGTCCCACCATGCCTCTTCGCCACTACTGACCTTCTACTACCATCCCTGACCCCCCGCCTCCCTCCAGCCCCCTGAGCTGAATTCATCCTTAGATTAGTGAGATTCTTCTAGGGTACAAGGAAGAGAGGTGGCTTTTGTTGACGGTGGCACACCCCATTTGTAAGGTCTGCCGAGTATTTCCCACATCGCTGTCCACCCTCCCCTCCATGAGCCAGGTAGAGGGCGGGAATCCAAGCTTCTGGCTGGGAAGGGCAGGAGGTCACAGAATATATTCCTCAGGCTCCCTTGCAAGGTTGGATGCCACCCTCAGGTCACAGCTCCTGTTAGAGCATCCTCTCCTTCAGCGACAGCTGCTCTCCATCCAGTGACAGACCCTTGCTCTGGCTCATCAAGCCTAGGCCTGCTAAGGCCTCCACTGCTTGTTCAATTCTCTTACTGCTTCCAACTCCTTGGTTAAAGAAAAAAGAAAGAAAGGAAGGAAGGAAGGAAGGAAGGAAGAAAAGAAAAGAAAAGAAAAGAAAAGAAAAGAAAAGAAAAGAAAAGAAAAGAAAAGAAAAGAAAAGAAAAGAAAAGAAAAGAAATCCCCTTATTAAACTTTCCCAAATGGATCACTGGTTTCCTGCCTGGGTCAATCTGGGGCATCTGCAGGGAATCCAAAGGTGGCCAGATATGCCTCTTCCCCACCCCCAGCTGGACTTCCTGGGACTTGGGTCTTGGGCATGAGGCGGAGAGCTTAGTGGGCAGTCTAGAATTCATTTGCAAGAGCTGTGGCCAGTGGCAGTGACGGGGTTGTCCGCAGACAGCAGAAGTGGATGGGATGGTTATGCCAATGGCTGTTCCCAGGACACGATCTGCTGCTTGACATCCCCACCCCCCATCCCATGGCTCCTGCCCATTTTCTGGGCCTTGATCTCCACCCTCCCTATCAGTTCCACCGGCCCCTATACCCTTTCAGCGAGTTTCTTTTTTACCTAATGTGGCTAGAGGCCTTTTCTGTTGCTGTCATTCAAAGGGCCCTCCCTCTCTGCTACAGGGTTTGCTTTCAGAGTTCAGAGGGAAGTGAAGCATCACTGGGACTCCTCCTGGCAGGTGCTCAGCTTTCTGAGTCTCTGAAAGACTGAGAAGGACAGCAGTGCTCACAGAAAACAAGTCTGTAGCTTGGTCTAATCATCCTCATGGCTACCATTTGGGTGCATTCTTATTGTTCCCGTGATATAGGCCCAGTTACCTTTTGTTCCTGCCACCTGCACCTGGCAAGTACGCTCCCCAGGGGAGAGGATCTGATTGGTTCATCCAATACTAGGCATCTATATGGGTCAGGGGTGTCATGCCAGCCTCGATCCTTTCCCGGAAGAGTTAACCCCCCACTCGTCCAGCCTACTAACCAATTCTCCAATCAGTTCTAGTCAAAAGGTGACCATGAAAATGAATGAATGAATGAATGAATGCATGAATGAATGAATAGGGATTTCTCTTGGCCTCCTAGTCAGACTGAATCACACCCCCCTCCAAGACTTTCACACCTCTAAGTTTGTCTCACACTTAGCCTGTCTAAGTCTGCCTTCTCCTAAAGGCAGATACACTCAGACTCTGTGTCACTCTCTGGCCCAGCTCAGCAGCTGTGTCTAGAAATGATAAATAAAAGCTCCCTGAATTCAACAGAGACTTGCATAAACTTTTTTCCAACTTTGCAAAGGGATTGGGTCTTATTTATATATTATCTTCCTCTGTGCCCAGCACAGTGGTTTACATATAGCAGAGGTCCAATAAGTGCTCTTTGAATCCAGGAGAGAGCTTTTATGGATCTACCTACCGATTGTCAGATACGGAGCCGGGCCCAGAAGGAAGTAGCACTTACTGAGCACTTATTTTGCGCCAGGGTCTATTTTAACCTCACAACAAACCTATGGGTGTGCACTTTTACTGCCCTCACTTTACAGATGAGAAATATAAGGCACAAACAGGCCACATAACTTACCTAAGTAGTAGCACTGTGATTCTAGCCAGGCAATCTGGCCCCAGAGCAGCTATGTTTAACTGCTTTACCAGTTAATCAAGGTATTAAATACTGGAATTAAATGAGCCATTCTGATGCAATCCTATCCATTTTTTTAAACAACTGTTTTAAATTAATCTCTCCAACTGCCACCTTAATGGCCATGCCCCACCTATCCCTTGGGGAGATGGGGCTCAGGGATGAAGCGAAGAGGCCACTTTATCCAGGACTTGAAAAGTAAGAAGCTGCAAGCTGATGATTGTGTTTGTCAGGTTGAATGAAAACATTCCGTACCCTTCCACGGAGAAGCTGTGTGAAAGGCAGAGTTGTGAAATAACTGGGCACATTTGTAACTGCGGCAGCAGGACTTCCAGAGCAAACATGGCAATAGCACACCACACTCCTGTCCAAGAGCCACAGCGTCTGTGCCAGGCTCTCATGAGGAACAATGGCGAGGACACCAGCCTGTCTACACTGCGGTGGTGTTTCTGTAGTATGAGTCCCCAAGGGGGTGGCCACCCTTTCAGCCTGATTTGGTCTCTATGAAAACACTTGCCACATCCTGCAGGGCAAGGCCTGCCTGCCTTTCCCTCCACAGACTGACAGGAACCTGGCACCTCCATGCTCTCTCGGCCCCCGGGACAGGCAGCCACATGGTGGGGGAGTTGGCCTCAAATTCCAACTGGGGTGGAAATATTTCCTGACGGAGGCACGTTTCATTTCCCTAAATGCTCCATGTGACCGCCTCAGTGGGTTACAATCTTAAGTCCTTGTTAAAATTCAAGTTCCCCAGCCCATCTTTCACCTATGATCAGAATGGAGGCTGGGAAGAGGAAAGGGGGTCCCTGGTGTGACCCTCTCTTCCCCTCTCCTGCCTCCAAGTGGCTCAGAGTGCAATCGGGTGGGGAGTCTGGCAGATGGGAGGCACGTGGTCTCCAAAGTGACCTTGGAACTCTCCACTCACACACTCACCCAGCCATGTGGGCCTACACATCACACATCAGGGCCTTTCCTCAAATAGTCCCCTCAGGCAGGGCAGCTCTCAGGGCAGGGTCTCCTCACGCGGGCTCACCCAACAGCATGCTCCGAAACAGACATGGTTTTTCCATTTCAGAAATGATCTCTCCCAAGCAGTCTGTGAGCTCATGTTCCCTCGACAAGGAGAACCCAGTGCCTGTGTATACACTAGATGCACCATAGGTGGCTACTGACTGAATACAGGCAGTGACACAGATACAAAGAAGGGCAAGGACACTCTAGAAGGCAGTGGAGGAAAGGCTGTCATAGCTAAGTGTCAAAGAGAAGAGCCTCAAAGGAGGCAGAAGTCCAGACTGCAGGAAACCCTGCCCTACCCCAACTTTGTGGGCCCACCCCCTCAACTTCCCCCAACCCAGCTCCCCCGGAACCCAACTAACCATGTCCCGTCATCCCAACACACCACAAACACCGGGAGCCAGAAGAGTCTCCATGAATTTATTGTCATTCAAATATTTCAGAGAAATAGGAATGTAGCAAACAGGTCAGGATAATATGGAAAAGTAAAAAAACTGCAGGTTTGTACAAGTTGCTCTATTTACATGGGGGACAGGCGCTCCCCCGCATCAGGCACAGCAGCTGCACTTGTCCGATGCCCCTTTGCAGATGCAGCCCTGGGCACACTTGGCACAGCCCGCGGGGCAGCAGGAGCAGCAGCCTGGGGGACAAAGGCCGGAGCGGGTCAGAGCGGGCATCACCAGGGACCTCCCTCCCCGACAGCAGGCCCCTGGGTCGAGGATGGCATGCTCTGTCCCTAGACACCTGGGTCCTACCCACTAGGAAGAGGCTGCCCTGCCCCCATCTCATCGCAGGACAGGGCAGAACGCCTGGACACACAGTGACAGGACTTCCAGGGACCATGGAGGCTTGTCCCTTCCTCCACCCCCACCCCCACCCAGAACCAGACCATAACATGAGGAAAGTCCCAAGATCGGAGCGGGGGGCACCCCTGCCCAGCAGGTCCCAGGAGGGCCAGGGAAGCTCCGGGCTGTCTCCAGAGGAGAGGGCTGCACCAGGTCAGAGAAACCACGCGTGGGCACCAAGTTCATGAACATCAAGTGTTCGGTATCAAGGATACTGGAGGGTTCAGAAGCTGCATCAGGAGGCAGGAGACCTAGGTCCCAGGTCTGGCTCCATCCTTGACACTATTTGCTGACCTCTCTGGGCCTCGGCTTCCCTGCTCTAGGATGAGGTGGGGACTCTGCCATCTAACGGGACCTTTGAGCTCCAGTTCTGAGTCAGGGCTGAGAAAAGGGGATGCAGAGAAGCTGGGTCTTCTGACTCAGCCCGGCCCCCCAGGGAGAAGACCCCACACTCACTCTTCTTGCAGGAGGTGCATCTGCACTCTTTGCACGTGCAGGAGCCGGCGCACGTGCAGGAGCCACCTGCCAGGGCGGGAAAGAGGCGCGGTGAGCCCAAGTGGGGTGTAGGAGCCTCAGCGGGGGGGCCACCAACGCCCCCTGCGGCCGCCTTGTCCCCGCCCAGCACCAGGAGCTCCCTTCTCACGCAGGGCCGGTGAGGGAAGCCCCACTCTCTCTGCTGGTGCTTGGAGAGGTAGGTCCCCTCCGCTTTTACTCCAAAGGAAGGTCCCAGGCTCCAGGCTCAGCCCAAGCAGGCTGGGGCTGGGGGCCAAGGCCTTTGGTCTTGAACCCTGAGGAGGCAATGCCCCACCTCCCATCAAGCGCTGGCGGCTCCAAGGCCTGGACAGAGCACTGCGTCCCAGGTCAGCGGCCCCCGAAAACCCAGGACACCTCGACGTGACCGCAGTCCCCTCCACTCTAACACAGAGGCACAGCGAGAAGGGACATGCACGTGCTCACGAAGGGAGTCCGCTCAGCTCAAGTTCAAAATCCTCGCTCCTCTAACCCCAAGGACACTCGGTCCGGGCCTGGCAAAGTGCAGCCTAAGGCTCGGAGCCGGGGACCCTTACCGGTGGAGCAGGAGCAGTTGGGGTCCATGTCGAGCCGAGGTGACGACGGAGGTCCAAACCAGGCAGGCGACACAAGAAGCACACCGCTGATGGCTGGAGGCGTGGTGGCGCCTGTGAGCAGGCGGGCCGGCTTTATAGCCCGAGCGGCCGGCCCGGGCGCAAAGGCCCCGCCCCTGTCCCTGCACCCGCCCCGCGGAGGGCGCGCGGCCCGGCGTGTCCTTGACTGTGCTGTGTGCACCCCGCGGGGCCGGGCGCACGAGTCCGCGAGGGCGGCTGGGCTCCGTGTGCACCGCGCGAGGGGGGCGCGCGGCGGTCTGCACGCGGTGTCCCGGAGTCCCCGCCCGCCCCCTCTCGGTCTCCCCGAGGCTGACAGCCAGCCCGGTTCCTGTCCGTTCTGGGAACTCTATGCCTGTGTCTTGGCCGCCTTCCCCACCCCAGGCCCGGTGCCTGTGTCCCCGGGGTCGCCCTTTCCCGGAGCCCGTGTGCAACCCCGGCCTGTCCTTCCAGACCCAAGCTTGGCGGGGGCGAGGGCAGAGGGTGGGTGTGCAGGGCGCCCTGAGAGAGCTGTGTGCAGAGGATGTGCAGCGGATGCAGCCTTTGCCTCTGCTGGCATGTGTTTTTCCTGGCCCCACGTGGGGCTTTCGGGCAAGGGAAAGAGACCACTGTCTCTTTGCATTCTTCACGTGGAAAGGATATATGGGCACAATCGTCCAGGTTCTTTTTTGGGTTAAAACTAATGCTCCCCACAGCCTGCCAGTGCATCCCACGCCAGATTTGGATCCACTTTTGCCCAATGGGTAGGATGCCCACAAAGGAGGGATTTTTTTAGGTGATAGGGAGCCCTGGCTTTAAATTAACAAAGACAAGTGGTTATTTCCCTTTCAGTATTCCAAGAACTACATAGCATTTATTATGTACCAGGTCATTTTTATAATCATGGCAGGTGTCTTTTGGTATTTAATCTAAGGCACAGAGCATCTTCCTTGTGGCTTTATACCTGTAATGCCGATCACAGGTTTGTGGGGAGAATGAATGACGCTCTCTGGCCCAAAGGTTGCATTCTCCTGTGGTTGATAAACACCACAAAGGACATGTAACCAGGCACCCCAGGCCAGGTCGATTTGAGGTAAATAAATACTCCTTGTGCTTTGCATAATAATAATAAAGTAATAGCACCCCAAGCCCGGCTTATTTGTCAGGACGTAAACAAATGTGTCCTATGTTATGTGTAATAATAATAAAGTAAGAGCTAATATTAATAGTTCACTCATGATGTGCTAGACACTGTTCTAAGTTCTTTACATGTATTAACTCATTCAATCCTTTGAGCCAGTTGCCTTTCTTTGCCCCTTTTGCAGCAGAGGTAGTAAGCCGGAGAGGTTTATGTCACGTCACGCAGCTGAAAGTGACATGGGAGGGATTTGCACTCACATGGGCTTTGCTGCAGGCCCTCACCCTCCTCCCTGCACCATGACTTCACACGCAAGGTGAGGACACCGAACACCAGGCACAGAGCAGCAGTGGGAAGAGCACTGGGTTGGCAGTAAGATCCTCTACATTAGCTTTATGTCCTCTCTGGGCTTCGGTTTCCCATCTCTCAAGCCGGGGCACAATTGCTCCATCTCCAGAGGCGTTTCCACCTTTGAATAGTGAGAGACAATATTTAGCGCCCAGTGCCATCATGACCAGCCGGCTGTGGGCAGGGTCTGAGGCCAGCTGTATTGGTTCAGACCCCTGACTAGGAGCCGTGTGACCTTGGACAGGCTGCTTAATCTCTCTGAAGAGGGCACAGTTACTCCAGCGCCCCATGTTCACTCTCTCGCTGATTCCTGCAGACTAAATGGCATGAAGGAGGGTGAAGACTTTTGTGTCTGTCCAAATGCTGCGGCAGCATCTTGTCCCTGGGGGCACTAGGCCGGTCAATCCACCCTCCTTCCAGCACCGGGTCAGCAAATTCCCAATCCCACCCTTAACCTCCCACAGAGTAGTGCTTCCAAACTAATGACCCTTTCCCCAAGAGCCTTATTGGGATTCAATAGGATTCCCTCTCCACGAATGTCAGTGTGGATATAATGACCACTGTTTATTAAGCTCTAGCCAGGAGTCAGGAGGCTATCATTTAATCCCACATAGAGATCGAACCTCCTTTCTACAAATGGGGAAATCAAGGCTCAGTAAGGTTGAGTAGCTTGCCCAGGCCATTCCACCTGTGGAAAAGTAGGCTGTGAACCCAGACTGGCTGACAGCAAAGCCCATGCACTGGGCACACCTGAAATCCCTTTTTCACACCAGACACCCATAGGCAAGCATGGTCCTGATTCTGAGCCACATGACTCACTTTTCTCTTTGATTGAACATCAAATAGCAATTCCCTCCACAAATAGCCAGGGGGGACTAACCGTTGGCATTAATTACAAGTCACTCAGGGCCTCTCCCCTGCCTAATAAACACCACAAGGACTTCCAAACTGTAGGATTGGGCATCACCCTGCACAGGCAGACATGAAGTACTGCATCTGGAGCCCGTTCTCGGATACCCTCCCTCTTGCTGGGAAATGGCTGGGCAATTGTGTCCAATTCCCTAGCGGCTTTGTTGGTTTCACGTTGCCAAGGGCTGGATTTTGCAGGGGCAGATTCCAGCCTGACCCGGGGAGGAACTTCCAAAGACTCAGAGCCAAGTCACAACGGGGACCTCTCAGGGGTACTGGGTGTTGTGTCAGTGACACAGTGGCAGGGAGGAAGCCAAGTGCCCTGTGGGGAAGGACATCCAGGACAGAGCTACTCAGGTGTGTGTGGTCCGCGGCACTGGGACATTTGTGAATTTTTTCTAGTCCTTGGTGGACACCTCCCATGACCATATATATGTGCAGTGTTTTAAAATCTCTTAATTTTACTTGTTCGTGTATTTATTGAAATTAGGTGTGTTCAATCTACAAGCATGAGCTTTGTATTGTTCTTTTATGGTATTTTCATAAAATTAATATATTTTCAACAAGGTTTAGTCTGCGATGCATAGGAAGTAAAAACCGCTCCTTCACCACAAGGATTTTTTGAGAAGCCCTATGTAGGATTCAAACAGGTGAGAAGTTGTTTACCAACTCCCTTTAGTTACTTGCAAGCCTAAAATCTGGTGCGGAACTAATGTTGGGCAGAGAAACCACGGAGCGTGAGAAATTCTGGAGTGACAGGGCACCTGGCTGGCTCAGTCCTAGAGCATGCAACTCGACTCTTGATCTCGGGTAGGGAGTTTCAGCCCCATTGTGGGCTTAGAGATAAATTCTGGATTGAGTTTCTGTGCCATCAACACTTGATATGAGAAGAGAGGGACCTGGTCAGTCCTTGTGACTTTATGTCATCTGGCTCTTCCATTTTACAGAAAGTTCAGTGTAACCTGACTTGCCTTAAGGCACTTAGTTTATTGGGGGCTAATATTTGTGTCCAGAACCCAGGTTTCTGCACTTCCAGTCCAACCCCCCACCCCAGCCCTCCTGGGCATGCAAAGGAAAACAGAAGCAGAAAAAAAAGTTAACAACTTTTATTATAATTCACGTATTTTACAGGAAAAAAAATGAATGTAGCAGAAGGATCAGGTTTGTACCAAAAACAAAACAAAACACACCAAAAGAACGGCAGGTTTGTACATGTTGCTCTATTTACATGGGGGACAGGCGCTCCCCCACATCAGGCGCAGCAGCTGCACTTGTCCGATGCCCCTTTGCAGATGCAGCCCTGGGCACACTTGGCACAGCCCGCGGGGCAGCAGGAGCAGCAGCCTGTGAAAGGGAAGGAGGCGGCAGAAATGAGCGCTGGGCACAAAGGATGAAACATGCCGGTCCTCCCCCACGGGGCCCATCGAGGAGGGGGCCTCAACTTCCCCTCGGAGAATGGGGTGGGGGGGGCAACGGTTAGGGGGAGTGCGAGAAAAGACTGCACTCACTCTTCTTGCAGGAGGTGCATCTGCAGGCTTTGCATTTGCAGGAGCCGGCGCACGAGCAGGAGCCACCTGCAAGGAGAAAGGCAGCGGTGAGAACCGAACCGTCCCTGGAGAGGACTCGAACGCGGGAATGGGTGCTGGCAGCCCGGGCTCGAGTCTCAGTTCCACAACCAGCCCGTGGGGACCCGGACGAGCCATGAAGCCCGACCCCTCGTCGGTAGAAACGGGGCTCGATCAACCTAAAGAGAGGAACATCAAAAGACTTTGGGAAGGGGCAGTTAGCACCCCGGACGTGAGTGATCAAGAAGAGACGGGGGCGTCAGCGATTGCTTCTCTAGCGCTACAGCCGACGCGCGGCCCCGAACCAGGTCTCCTTACCGGTGGCGCAGGAGCAGTCGGGATCCATGGCGAGGAGAAGCGGTGGCCGGAGTCCGGAGACAGCTGCAGAGAGGCGGCGGGCACGTCGGAGAGGCGTGGTGGGGCGCAGCGCGGCGCGCCGCCTTTATAGCGGCCGGGAGCCGGGGCGAGTGCAAAAGCCCGCCCCGCTCGGCCGCCGCCTGCACACGCCCCGCGCTGAATCACCCGCGGAGGCGCGGCGCACCGGGCTGTGCACACGGCCGCTCGCCGGGGTTCCCAGAAGCCGCCTCCGTGCGCCGCGGGCCACCACGTGCGGGAGGGCCGGGTGCAGAGCTGGGACACCGCGTGCGGGGCCGCGGGGCCTGTGCTTGAACTCGGATGTTTGGGGGCAGGGAAAAGCTGGGGTTGGGGGGCGGGGAGCGGGTCTTGGGGTCCCCACCTGGGCCGAAAAATCGGTTGGAAGTACAGACGGATTGCGAAAACCTCCTTGTTCCCGTCAAGACTTAGTAATTGTGTACCAGCCTGGTAAACCCATGGGATGGTTATGGACAACCTATCTATGCGATGTACACGGAGTGCTTTACCGTGTTGACGGGCACTGTACTGAGGTCTGTGCCGGCTCTCGTTTGACCCCGAAACAACTGTTAAAAAGAAAACTACTGACCCCAAGTGGTGTCGCTTAGGCCAAGTCACCACTCGGGGCTAAATGCCCAACCTAACTGCAGTTTTAACCTCCCCCAGAAGTGTAAGTCTTAAGGGTCAATGAGTAATTTTCTGATCAGAGCCAATGAGGCAATCTGTCACAGGGGCCCTCTCTATTTCCCAAAGAAAGGTGCAGGAATCCACCCTGCCCTCCACCTAACCCTCACCAACCCCTTCCACCCCACCCCTGCTCTTCCATCCAAGGGAAGGTGACCTTGCCTAAAACAGTCCTTTCTTTTCCTTTGCTCATAACTTTCATGACCCGCTCACTTTCCTATAAAAACCTTTGATTTTGTACAATTCCTCCGAACTCCCCTTTACTTGCAAGATGGGATGCTGATTCATGAATCACTTAAAAAAGGCAATTAGATCTTCAAAGTTACTCAGTTGAATTTTTTTTTTTTTAACATAACCCCATGAGATAAATATGATAGGGAAAAATAGGATAAAATAGGCAGAGAGGAAAGGTGAGGAGTTGAGGTCCCTGAGTGGGGAAAAACATATATTTTGGAACAATGCTGGGAGTGTCTGACCACAGCAAACCCCTTTGGGCATAAGATTCCTCTTAAGAATGTAGCAGACAGAGGCACCTGGGTGGCTCAGTCAGTTAAGTGTCCGATTTCCCCTAAGGTCATGGTCATGATCTTGCCGTTCAAGCCCTCCATCGGGCTCTAGGCTGACAGCTCAGAACCTGAAGCCTATTTCAGATCCTGTGTCTCCCTCTCTGCCCCTCCCCTGCTTGCAGTGTCTCTCTCTGTCTCTCTCTCAAAAGTAAATAGACAAAAATAATTTTTTAACAATATAACAGGCACCACCTACTCCCCCTCAGGTTTCCCTCAGGAATTTGACAAAAGACCTGACTAAAAACAAGTAGACTGTAAAACGTATGACCTACTAGGAGCGATATGGCCGCAGACCACCCCTCATACAACGGAATTGAGGTAATCAGGAATGGACAGCTCAGCACTAGAGCTAGCAAACCAATTGGGGTAGAACCTGGGAAAGTACAAGGGGGAAGGGATGGGGGAGGCAACCAGAACCTTATAAAACAAGGACCCTTACCTATAGTCGTGGGTATTCAACTTCGAATGCTCCCTCTCTGTAAAAAGCTTTCCTACTATTCTTCCTTACTGATCTTATGCTCTAATAAACATTTGCTGCTCATTTTGTGTGCACCTCCTCATTCTTCAAAGTGGGGAGGCAATGAACCCCGGGTATAGAGGTAAAAAATCCTGCAACATAAGGACTATCCCTTAGTCTTATTTTATTATTTTTTTAATGTTTATTTTTGAGAAAGAGAGAGAGACAGACAGAGCATGAGCAGGGGAAGGGCAGACAGAGAGGGAGACACAGAATCTGAAGCAGGCTCCAGGCTCCAAGCTGTCAGCAAAGAGCTGGATGCGGGGCTCGAACTCACAAACTGTGAGATCATGACCTGAGCTGAACTCATGCTTAACCGACTGAGCTACCCAGGTGCCTCTTATTTTATTTTTTTAATGTTTATTTTTGAGAGAGAAGGAGCAAGCAAGAGAGGAATGAGGAGTGGGTGGACAGAAGATCCAAAGCAGGCTCTGTGCTGACAGCAGCAAGCCCGACGTGGGGTCCAAACTCAAGAACTATGAGATCATGACCTGAGCCAAAGTTGACCACTCAGCCGACTGAGCCACCCACGTGCCTCCTGCCCTTTAAAGAGGAGGAAATGGTGGCCCAGAGAGGTTAAGTAACTTGCCCAACGTCACAGAGCTAGGGCATAGCAGAGCCTGGTGATTCAAATCAAAGCGTCCAGCAGATGCTAAGGGTAGATCACCAAAAGGTAGACACCAACAAGGGAGAGTAAGGATCAAGAAACCACAAGCCTGGTGCTCAGGAAACATAGTCAAGGGGGCAGCCCCGTGGGTGCACAGGGAAAAGCGGCACCAGGGTGATGGCTAGGACAGAGATTCAATCAGGGCCAGAGAGGAGGAACATCAGTCCTGCTGGAAGGAGGTAGTTAGGAAGGAGAGAAGGTCTTTGCCAGGCAGGGGAGGGGAAGAAGTTGTACTCCAGCCTGCGGAAGAAGCAGCCAGATGGAAAGTTGGCATTGCCCTGGAACGTGTGGAGGGAAAACCCCACGAGAACTTTCTTCCCCAGTGTGCTTTGAGGGGAAGAGTGGAGGGAGCATCCAAATTCCTCTCTGAGGAGGCACAGCCTGCTCCCTTGCTCATGTGTGTCTGGCTTGTGGGTAACGGATCTTAGATCATCGTCCTAGGAATGCCCGGTGTGTCATCAGATGAGTCAGCAACCTCTGGTCGCTGGAAAGTTCTTGGCAACTTAGGGAATGTTGTTGCTGCAGCAGAGAGTTTAGTGAGGAGGCGGGCAAGGACAGGCTGTGCTTGTAGCATTTACTCTAAGGTCCTGCGGAAACGTCACTTCCTCTAGGGAACCCGTCCTGAACCCCATGCTCCGTCAGGTCGCCCGTAGAACGTGCTGGTAAACAACCTGTCTTTTTCCTTCCTGGCACTTTCCATGTCTGTAATATGCAGGAAATTGTGTGGTTCTTGGAGTGATAGCTGTGCCCCTCCCCCATTCCAGCCCGTCACTGAAAACAAGAAAGGTCATTGCCCCCCAACATGTGGCTCTGGCCCCAGGCACAGGGCCAAGTTGGCAGTAGGTGCTTACCCAATATTTGTCACATGAATTAATGGGGGTAATCCCATGAATGTCCCCTCCATCCCCAGACCCCACCTTGCATTAGGGCCGATTACAAAATGAAAATAAAAAAACTTTTTCCACCGCCCTGGGACCTGTGTGCTCACTCAATGAAAACGCCAAGCAGGGCGGGAGAGTTGAGCCATCAGAGGGACTAAATTCTAGTGGTCGCTGCCGCTCACTTGCTGCTGATTGACCTTCGGGCAGTTATGTGCCAGGGCCCCTCTGAGCCTCAGTTTACTCATCCTGTCAAATGATCCAATTGTATAAGAATTTGAGGGTCACATGCAAACTCTCTGAGTTTAGAGCCAAGATCTCAGAAATCTATGTTCAGCAGCCCTGTGGACTAGAGCATCGAAGGTCTGCTCTTGGAGCAGTGGACAGGTTTTATTGTTGTTGTTATTTAAATATACACACGTTATCTGCAAAATTCCTGGTTTCTAATCAGGCGGTCACTGGTCTACTCAGGGGAAATAATCCAACTCTATGAAGGGACAATACGGCTTGTTTTTTGCGCCCAAAGTCTTAAATCTAGCATTGGGTCTGGGCCATTCACGTTGGCAGTAAAATTTGCTTCCAGGCCTTAGCTGTCTGCCTTGAATCATTTTGACTCTGTGAGGGGAGGCATGACCAATCTGCAAAGCGGAGGGGGTCTGGCCCTAGTCTTGTTCATCGACATGCCCCCTGAAAGCCTCACAGTGCTTGGGACATGCTGGAGAGGGAAGACCTTGCCATGCATGCAGGGCTGAGGCAGGGAGATGAGAGGGTGAGGGACATGAGGCCAAGCAGCATTGGGTGAGGAAAAATACTGCCCCCTTCCACCCCACCAGCTAATCTGATATGAGTCATCAGCAGGAGTGAATGATGTGGCCCTGGCCTGCATTAATAGAAGTATGCCATTTAGAATGAAGGAGGTGAACTTTCACTCTCGTTTTAACTGCAGAGGTGGATGTTTATAGTTCTTCTGCACAGCCATCCATTCATTCTTCCCTTGTGGCAGTACTCTTTGTTTTCCTTTGTAGAATCTCTCCTCTCTACTCTTGGGCCATATGCTTGGATGGTGTTGACCCCATCCCTGGGATCCCAGGCCATTCCACCTCCCTGGCCACAGTGATTGGCTCTGATTGAGTCATCCAGCCATGAACCGAAAAGAATCACTAAAACTTTTGCCAGGAATGCTGGGAAAATGGAAGTTACTTTCAACCCGAGAGGACATGAAGCTGAGTTTCTAAAGCCTTTTGACTCCATGAGAAGAGCCTGAAAATAAAATCATAACAAAGGAAATGGAGACCAACATCACTCGAACACCTGAATCCAGCCATTCCTGAAACCATTGTGAGTCCGTCATTTCCTTTTTACTTAAGTCATTCTGGATCAAGTCCTAACTGACACCGTTGGTCAGACCACCCTGTGTGGTGTGTTCCTTGTTGGGCTTCCACCGTCCAGAAGACAGTTGATCACAATGGCCCTAAGACTCAAAACCCCGTCGTGGGAACAACAGTGGGGAGTCATGGACAGGATCATTCTGGAAGAAAACTGTTACCTTCAGATCTTTGGATGGTGGTTGCTCTGGTTATCTACAGCTATGCAACAAATTGCCCAACACTTAGCAGCTTAAACAACCATTTTATTGTCTTTCTTGGTTTTGTGGGTCAGGAATTCCAACAGGGTTCATTTGGGTGATTGATTCTCTCTCTCTTTTTTTTCAATGTTTTTATTTATTTCTGAGAGAGGGAGAGAGACAG